ATCAAAATAAATGGATTGGGCCATTCTCCAAAATTTTTTTTTTATAAATAAATAAAAAGTTTTTCTTCTAATATTTACATTTTATTTTTTTGATTCTAATATTTGAATCATTAAATTACCAAAATTATATATATACACTGAAAGAAATAATGAATAATAATTATTATGAATTAATAATTAATTATGTTTATTTATTTTTTGTCTCTTTGCTTTTCAGAATGACTTCTGCTCTACTGGCTACTGGAATATTCAGGCCAGTTTGAAAGGCAACACACACACAGCACATTTGAACCAAGTCCAAAATGACACTGGAAAAGATATGTCAATATAATTTTAAACTGCAACTGGATATAAAATGTGATGGAATATTTCAGCGAAATAAAAAATAAATAAATACATTAAAATAAATTAAAATATTACAATTTATTATATATATATATATATATATATATATATATATTGCATATAGGATGTTTATATCCAAATTAATGTGTACTCTATAAACACACACACACACACACACACACACTAATACGGATATAAACACCCTGCATCACTCCCTGTCTAACTCCTCCCCCTCAATTAATGTCAAGAGAACGCAGAGCCATTATTTCCCACAGCAACGAACACTTCAGAGCTCGGACCGCAGTGAAAACAGCCTTTAAGGAGCACGAGAGGACACTTTCTGCTTCACTTCTTCAGCCCATAAAGCACCTAGAGCTGGGGTAAACAGACCCCTGCTTGACCATCACAACACACTCACACATACACAAACAGCTCCCAGCGCTGACAAGCAGGACAAATGATTTGTCCCCAAACACCACCCCATGTGCTCTCTTCACTTCAGCAGTTCATCTGGAGCGAGAGCGCTGATAACAGCCGCGATGGGTCGACTGAGGCGCGCACTGACATATTACTTACTCATACACTACTACAGCATTCATTAATATTTTGAATAATGTTTTATTTTTATATTTTCAGTTTATTATAATTATATTTATAGTTTAATTTCAGTTCATTTAATTTTTTTGCTTTAATAATTTTAAATGTTTTTTTTTTTAATTAGTTTTTTTTATTTTTCTATTTAGCTTTATTTATATCCAGTGTTGGGGGTAACCCATTACAAGTAACGCGAGTTACGTAATCAGATTACTTTTTTCAAGTAACTAGTAAAGTAACGCATTACTTTTTAATTTACAAGAGAATATCTTTGTTACTTTTTCAAATAAGTAACGCAAGTTACTTTTTTCCCCCCAATTTACTGATTGACAGCTCTGCTGTCCCCATGTTGAGAGAAATCAGAAGATGTTACTGTAGTTCTAAAATAAATATGAATATGCATTAATTCATCTCACTCACAAAAAAAACACAGATTCAGTATTCCTCAAAATGAATAAAAATAATGCAACTTAGAATATGACGCACAAATATCCTTTATGTATTTAATCCCATTCTATTAACCAATGTCTTTGCTTCTGACCTTCGATGATCTAGTTCAACCATACTAATAAGCAAAAATTACTCTAGACAAACATTTGTGAGTCTTTTTTTATTGCTGAAGTGTGTTGAAATTTCTTCTTCTGCATTCAACTGTACGGACGTAAATTTACTTTCCCTTCAGCCTGAGGTTTATTAATTTAACTTTTGGTTAGGGCTGTGCGATTAATCGAAATCGTCATAAAATCGCAATTTGAGCTTGCGCGATTTCTAAATCGCTTTATAGCACGATTTTCCGCACACACGACCTCCTGTATGCTATCCGAACCAATCAGAATGCAGCGCGCCTAAATGGAGCACGAGAACAGAACAGACCAGGCGGGCATACA